GAAAGGAAGGTAATTGGGGGCATGTCCTTGAAGGGGCTATTGGGAACCCAACTCCTTTCTGTCTCTCTCTTGTTTTCTGGCAGCCATGAGATGAACAGGCCCACTCTGTCACATACTCCCATCATGATGGTCCTGTGCCAGAGCATCAGGGTCAAATGACCATGGATTGAAAGCTCTGAAACCATGAGCCAAAATAATCCTTTCCTCCTTTTGAATTAGTTATCTTGAGCATTTTCTTATGAGTGACAAAAAGATAAGTAACACAATTCTTAAAACTCAATAATAAAAAAATCCTATTTTAAATATGATACAAAGAACTTAACAGATATTTCATCAAAGAAGATATACTGATAGCAGATAAATGCATGTAAAGATGCTAAACATCATATGCTCTTAAGGGATTGTGAATTAAATGAACAAGGAGATACCATAACTCACCATTAGAATGACCAAATTTCAAAACAACCGAAACAGCGAGTTTCTTTAAAAACTGTCTATAGCCTTTCCGTGCAATACAGCAATTATACTCTTTTTTCTTCTCTTTTCTTTTTTTTATTTGTTCATTTTAGATATACATGACATTAGAGTATATTTTTGACATATTATACATTCAAAGAGTATAACTTATTCTAATTAGGATCCCATTCTTGTAATTGTACATGATGTGGAATTTTACTGGTGGTGTATTCATATATGAATATAGGAAAGTTATGTCCGATTCATTCTACTGTCTTTCCTATTCCTATACCCCTCCCTTCCTATACCCCCTTATACTCTTGAATTTTTATCTAACTGAACTGAAAACTATGTCCATGCAAATAGCTACACATGAATGTTTATAGTACCATTATTCATAATCATCAAAACCTAGAAGCAAACATAGTGTCCAGTAGGATTTTTTAAGCCTGTGGTACAAGCATGCAATGAAATATTTATTATTCATCAATAAAAGGAAATGAACTATCAAGACATGAAAACACAAGGAGGAAATTCAAATGCATATTACTGAAGAAAAGAAGGCAAAGTGAAAAGGGTTTATACCTTTTCCAACTTTATGACATTCCAAATATATGACATTCTGGAAAAGACCAATCTATGGAAACAGCAAAAATTTAGTGAACACCAGAAGTTAGGATTGAAGGAGCGATAAATAGGCATGGCACAAAGGACTTTGGGGACAGTGAAAATACTCTGTATGATGCTTACATGGTGACTACATGTCTTTACACATTTGTCCAAATCCTAAGAATGTACAACACTAAAAGTGAACTACAGTGTAAACTATGGACTTTAGATAATAGTGATGACATCTAAATGTCATTGTAGCTTAGGACTTTTAGCAAATGCACTGGTAGGGGATGTTGATATTGAGGCAGCTATGAATGTGTGAAAGCAGGGGTTTGGAGGGAAATCTCTAGATGTTTCTTTCAAATTTTCTGGGAGCCAAAAAAAAAAGTTTAAAAAAATGCAACCATTTTTGTCTCACTTGCTGCTCTGGTGAAAAAAGAAAATAGTGTTAGGTGAAAATGGTTCTCATGAGTTTGGGTATTTCCTAAAGATATCATATATCATGTCTAGTCTACGCCTTCTGTCCCAAGATTAGTTAAGAGGGAATGTGCTACCTTGTTACTTCTCATGCATCTTGCATATTTTAATGATATTAAATTTGTGTGGATTTATGGGGCTCAGTATGTTATCTTTTTGTCAAGAGGAGTACTTCTCACTTTAAGTCTTTGGTGATAAAGTCCTACCTTAAAGGATCTTCGAGGATCCTTGCCCAGTTCCCCTCTCCTATTCCCCAGATCAGAGAGGGCTAGCCTCACTCTTTGACTGAGTGGTCTCCATGTCCATTCCCACATTCAAGTTCATGCACTTGAAATTCTGCTCTCTTGCAGGATAAAGGAGAACAGATCTTGGACGCGGTATGATGAGTTGGCTCTGGTGGTCCAGAATTGCCACAGATGGGATATTGGCCTTTGGTTTAAAACAAAGATTAAGCAGAGCCCCATCTATCACTCTCCTGAGTCTACTAAATACCAGACCCCTATAAAGACAGCAGTCATCAGTTAAACAAATGAACCATTAAGTTGAGAACAGATGTGTGAAAACAGCCACCCTCTCCTGATTTACTGACCCTCAGTAGACATTAGTTTGGCAATTGACTTTATCTGTAACAAACAGCTTGGCCTGCTGCTTAGAAGACTTGGTTTCCTTTAACACTTTGAGTTACATCCCACACACATATACCTCCCATGAAGGGACTCTGGGGCTGAGCAGGTGACTTTCATGATGAACTATGATGAACTGTTTTTCGTTCTTAGCTCTTACTTGCACAAGGTTGATAAGCCATCATGTCAACCACGTTGTCAGTCTCATTGGGCTGGAATGAAATTTGGAGGCTTGTGGTCACAACCTATCTTCATGTAGTGGTAGATTTATTTTAAGGTGGACCTGTTTCTCTGATGGGCTTTGATAAGACACGGTTTTGTTAATACAACAGGCAACTCTGTCTACAGGAGGATGCATGGTATAAATAAATCCTCAAGGTCCCCTCCAGCATTTGAAGGGGTGGTAGTTCAAAGATAAAATTATTAGAGATTTTAAAATTATTATGATGTTTAGCAACCATTAAAAGCACTGCTCACTCATTAAGTGAAAACCAGAATGTTTTGTTTGCTTTTCATTTTTGCTTTACCTTTTTAAATCTCAATTTTTATTCTGCACGTCCAGGTTTAAAATTCCTTTTGATGGGTAGACAACCCAGGTCTGTGAAATGAGCATCAGGGAAATAAACAGAGATGGGCATGGAGTGGGGAGCAGATTCAATACTTATATTTGGGCCCTGGCCAAGTGTTCCAGTGCTAACCATCAGTTCTCAAGGGTTGGACCACATATGACTATAACTGCCTGCAGTTGCAAGAAACAGAAACAACTTGACCTTGAGGTGTTTTATTATTATTATTATTATTATTATTATTATTATTTGAACTTTGTAGTTACACATAGTGGTTGGGTTCATCCTGACAAACTCATATGTGGGTGAAATTTGATTTCAATACTTGGTCCCTCTTTTCCCTCCCTCTTTCCTTCTCCTCCTCCCTCCCTCCCCTATTTTCTTTCCTCTGCTCTCTACTAGACTTCCTTTTGCTCATCTATTTATTTGTATTTGATTGGTTTTTTGACCTGGGTTTTGAAGAAGGAAGAGGAAGAAGAAGAGGAGGGTCAGGGAGAGGAAAAGAAAGGTGGCAGTAATAGTAATAGACATGGAGGTCCTCACTGTAACGGTTTGATAGGGAGAGAAGTAAGGAACCTAGAGTGCACATATCATGGAACTCAAGGGCAGGGACATATCTAGGTATCTAAAGGAGACTGAATCTGAAACCAAAGGAACCCTGGTGTGCTCTCCCTGGGCTTCCTCATTCCTTCTGTATTCTGCCCCAGAACCCCTTCCTGCAGACTCGTTTTCCAGAGACTCAGTCCACATGCTGGGAGATGACTATATTACAGTCCCAGTTGACTACAGCTCCTTTTAATTTGAGGATAGTCTGGACCAAATTCAAACTTTTTTTTAATAATTCCAGTTTTTCCTAAGAGAGCATCTGATTGGTTCTGCTTGGAACAGTTGTCTGATGAAGTTCAATCAATTGGCCAGGAATTATAGGATACAGAGTTCCCCTTTATCCTGTTTCAGTGACCTGCACTCAACTGCCTTCCAAAAATATTAACTAGAAAATTCTAGAAATAATTTATAAGTTTTAAATAACTCTTATTATGAAATATTATTAGAACTGTTCTATTTTATTTGTCATTATTGTTGTTAATCTCTTTCTGTGTCTAACTTATAAATTCAACTGTATGGTAGTTAAGAATGTATAGGCAAAAGTATGATATACACAGGGTTTGGTATAAACCTGTTACCTCTGCTGCATCAGGTATCCACCAAACGTTTCAGAACATATCCCCCAAAGATAAGGGGGACTAATACATCAAAATGGTTAACAGAAGCCCACCCCTATAGCTGAAGGGGAAAGTCAAGTGGCCTGGAAGAAACTCCATAAAGTGTTTTCTAGAACCCATCACTGTCCACATAATACAAAGATTTATCTCTGGGTATTACCAACCAAAGTTGTTGGATTTGTTTGTTTTTCCTGCTTTGGTTTGGTTTGAATCAATAATATCATTGAAATTTTTACTAAAAATCCATAGTTTTTCCTTCATTCAAAGCAGCACATCATACTCTTTTTTTTTTTTTTTTGGTAAGCAGTTTTTGGAGTGACAAAGAGAAAATGGATATGGAAGGTTTATCTAGATGTACACCAAAGAGCTCTATCTTTACACCATCCCAGGGAAAGAAATAATTCTATATTATATTTTCTTTACTTAAAGGAAAAAAGATGGTTTGAATTATACTTAAGACAATCATTTTAGAGGCTGAGACTGGAGGATCATGTGAGTTCAAAGCCAGCCTCAGCAACAGTGAGGCACTAAGCAACTCAGTGAGACCCTGTCTCTAAATAAAATACAAAATAGCACTTGGGATGTGACTCAGTGGTTGAGTGCCCCTGAGTTCAATCCCTGGTACCAAAAAGAAAAAGAAAATAATTTTAGGTGCTGAAGAGTGTATCATATTTTTTTTTTTTGCTTTAACCTGCAAACTTCAAAATATTCTTCCCTCAAATTACACCCAGGACCTTTCTAATTGTATTTGTGGTTTCATCTAAACAGAACCTCAAAGCTCATGAGAAAGGCTGACTCAGCTGAGGGCTGTGTGTGCCCTTTCTGCCCCCAAGATCTTATTCTAGATGGAGCAGAGAGCCATGGCCAGAAATCCTTATGATCCAGAAGCTACCCACATGGGGCTCTCGAAGGCCAGGCTGCCCCAAGTAGTTGGTATTAGAATCCCTTCTGGAGACTCACCTTTCTCTGAAATAACTTCGGTTTCCTAGTCTTTCCTTCCTGAGAGACGTTAATAGCCTTTGTTTTGCCCCATTTCCCTCTAGGCTTGAGGCAGGTATGAATGCTGATGTGGTGTGTCACACTCTGGAATTTTGTAAGCAGAACACTGGCCAACCGCTGTGCCATCTCTACCCACTTCCCAGGGTAAGTGGGCTCCACTCTGAATGTTGTCTACAGTGACATTAAAGCCCTTTGAAAATGTCATCAAGGATGCGCAACTTCACTTACTCTGAGGTTTGGGGACAGGAAAGTCAAGATGACATTTTCAATTACTCCATGTGAAATAATATTCACTAGTTTCAACCTAGACCCCTCCTCTCAGGCTACAAAGAATGTCTTTGCTATCTAGCTATTGTGGACAGTAATACTGAGCTGGACTGGCAGCAGGCAGGAGAGTTAATCAACCAAGGAAAACAAGTTTAAATCCACTTCTCTACCACTTAAAAACCAAGCAAGTCACTCTTAAAGAGTGACCAGCTCATCCCAGGTTGCCCAGGACTTTCCTAGGATCAGCAATGAAAGTCCCACATCCTGGGAAAACCTACACAGTTGGTCACCCTAGTCAGAGCTTTGTTGTCCTTACTCATAAAATGTGTAAAAGAAAATACCTCCCTCCTAGATTTATCATGGGAAGTAAGTGAGCTAGAACATAAAATGCTTAGCACACTGCCTACTATATAAAAAGGTTTTAATAAAAATGATAGCTAATGAGATTATTATAAATATCATTATTATTCAGAGACAGCTGTTCAGAACACCCTGCGTGCATTATATCATTCCGAGCAACTTTTAATTGGATTGCAGTCAAAGACAAGGCTGTAAATGTTGACACAATTCCCTCCCCACACTCCAGATGAAAGTATAATATGAAATCCTATTAGACCTCACAATATGATTTTCACAAACTTCCTATAAGAAAAATTTCTTGATTTCTTTTCCCAGCATCGTGATTCCTCTGTTTCTATTTTATTATAAATTTTTTATTCACATTGAAATTAGAAGTCAATTCTAATTCTTTGCAGCTTAACCAATGCACATGATTTTGCTGACTGACAGCATTAAATATCATAAGCCTATCTCCCTGAGCAAGAAGAAAGGATTCAAATGCCTGGAGTACGTGTGTATTTCATGCTTCATCCATTATTGACTACCAATTAAATTTCCCCTAATTCCACCTGAGAAGCTGTGGACTCTACTAGTTTCTAACAGAGTTAGTTAATTTTAAATTTTTATTTATTTTTTATTTTTTTACAAGGTGGCCTTTTTAGTTTTTTTTTATTCTAACCCATTATATATGACAGCAGGATGCATTTCAATTCATATTACACATATAGTGCACAATTTTTATGTCTCTAGTTGTACACAAAGTAGAGCCATACCATTTGTGTTTTCATACATGTACTTAGAGTAATGATGTTCATCTCATTTCACCATCTTTCCTACCCCCACGCCTCCTCCCTTTCCCTCCCTCCCCTTTGCCCTATCTAATTTCTTCCCATGCTCCCCAGCCATCCCAATTATGCATCAGCATCCACATATCAGAGAAAACATTCAGCATTTGGGTTTGTTTTTTTTTTGTGCTTGGCTTACCTCACTTAGAATAATATTCTCCAACTTCATTCATTTGCCTGCAAATGTCATGATTTTATTCTTTTAATCCCAAGTCATAGTCCATTGTGTATATATACTACAGTTTCTTTATCCATTCATCTACTGAAGGGCATCTAGGTCGGTTCCACAATTTTGCTATTGTGAATTGTGCTGCTATAAAATCGATGTAGCTGCATCCTTGTAGTATGCTGCTTTTAAGTCTTTAATTTAAAAAAAACATATTATGTGTTCAATGGCATGCGAGTATTGTATTCTAATAATCACCATTTAATATCACAAGGAGGAAGTGTTTCCTGGTGTAGGAAGGTCAGTGATCTGGGCTTCTGTGATTTTCATAAATAATGCCATATTATATACACATTATATCCCAGCCCCATACATACAAAATGCTCAACTTTAAAACTCTCACAGTTAAAATAGCATTCTTTACTTTTATTTTCTCTGGAGTTTATATCCCACATTTCATTTCCTGGACTTCTCAGTACAATCCCCAACTCAGGAACATCTCAACCATCCTCTTTGGGAGGGAGCTGAAGGATTTCACCTAGAAACACTCATTTTCTGCCCCAGCTGGGTGCCAGTGCTGCTGGTGGACCTTCGCCTACCTCCTCGGCAACTTCCCTTACTTCCTCTGAGGATTGCTCTGGACTTTCCTCCTCTTCTTAAATCCCCCTGAGCAGCCCCATTTCTACAGATGATCCAGAAAAGAGGAACAGTCAGAGTGAACTTGAACAGCTTCACTCTCCTCTGCCTCTGTGTTTCCTTCAATAGCAATAACTGGCATGTCCTGAGCACTCTGGGCACCAGATGCTGGGCAGAGGTTCATACTTCATCTTGTTTAGTCCCCCATTCAACCCTAGGGTATTCAAATAAGTATAACTCCGTTTGCAGCTGAGAAAATTGAGAGTTGAGGAGTTTATGCAACTTGATGAAAGTTACTCCCCTGGGAAAGAACAGAATTGGCATCCTGTCGCTCTGCTCAGAGAGTTTGGCTGGGATCTTATCACTGAGTCAGTGTTTTGGAAACTCCTTTGGGCATTCCTTCAAGACAGTCAACTGAAATCCCCCTATCAGAAATGACCAATGTTAAAATGTTCATTATTCTCCTTTTAATTTTTAAATAGATTACATTGCATTCAAGGTTGTTTTGAGCATATATAGTTTTGTACCCTGCTTTTCCTTCTTAACGTTACATTTTGAACACATATTTTTAAATGGTACATAGTAACCCTTTTTTTTTCCCATAGATCACTTCTACAAAACACATATGAATTACCTACCCACTAAAAGCAGGTAAACATACAGGTACAGATATAAATCATCTCTAGCCCACCACAAGGCTTCCCAGTCAATGCCCCAAAGTGGCTACTCTTCTGAAATCTCTCCATAGATTAGCTCATTGATATAAAATTCTATTCTCAAACTTCATGTAAATAGAATTACACAGTATAAATGGTTCCCAACTTAAGGTGGTTTGACTTAGGATTTTTCAACTTTACAATGGTGCAAAATCTATACACATTCAACAGAAGTCACATTTTCAATTTTCCCTAACTCTTGGTAAGAGGTTTGCAACCTTCTCTGAGATGCTGAGTGGCAACAGGGAGCCATAGTTCCCAGAGGAGACATACTACAGGAATTTCCTCTGTAATAGGCTGCATTGCCAGTGTTTGGGGATATTGTGTTTTCACATCCCATCATGTCTACAAACATCCATCTGTGTGTACATGAGATGCTCAACACTTCATAATAAAGTAGGCTTTGTGTTCGATGATTTTTGCCCAGCTGTATGCTAATGTAAATGTTCTGAGCCTGTCCAGGTAGGCTGGGCTAAGCTATGATGTTTGATAGGTTAGGTGCAGTAAATGCATTTACAAGCTCATCTCAACTGTCACCTTCTCCATAAAATAATTCTTAACTCTCCCAACAAAATGTTAAATCTCCTGTCAACTATTTTCATAAAATGACTTTTTCAGTATTTAAAGTATGCAAATACTCTTCTAAATGCTTTCTATCTATTAATCCATTTAATCTCATGAGGTAGATATTGTCCATATTTTATAGATGAGGAAAATGAGGTACAGAAATGCAAAGGTCTAGAATTACGTAGATTTCCTTATTGGGATGTAAGCATTGGGAAGAGAGAGAGGGAGATGAAGGGTGGGAAGAGGGGGAAAAATCAGCAGGCCAGCATTACAAAGTCCACTGAGATGGTTTTGTGTTACCCACCTGGGAGGAATTATTTTTACCAATCTTTCCCTCGTTTGCACACAGAACATTGACTGATGCTGGTATGTGCACCTGCATGTGTACATGTTTGTACCAAAGCACGATTCTCACAACACAGTTCACAAATTGAAACTGAATGCAGCTTCTTCATGTGTACCCTGTGACTCCTTAAGCCTGTCGTCTTGGGATCCTAGTGTCACGAGGTAAAAGCCCAAGTTGGTTCAGGAGCCTCCTGTAGTCTTCTGGGCTCTATTCAGGAATCTCCTAGGTCTCCTAACCCTGAGATCCCCAGGCAGACCTTGAAACTGTGAATACATTCCCTTCCTAACTATGGATGTGCTGGAGAGAATGCTGTGTTTATGAGCATCTCACAGGCACCCTCAAGACTGACTTCACACCCCTCTGATCCACATTAAAGGAGAATCATGTTTAGAATGTATGCTCTGCATGGAGATAGATTCTTCTCATTTCTCCAGGGCCTCCAACCCCCTTAAACTTCTGGGAGGGAGAACAGCTGTCTTTGGAAAGCCACCAGACCATAAAGCAGCTTTTCCCACGGTGAATCCAGTTTCTGTAGAACCCCACTCTCTGGTGCTGAGTGTGTGGGAGCGTATGTATACACAGGGACTTTGTATTTCCCTGGAATCCAAACTCCCTAGAAGCTGACATAAATGAGCTTGGGAATGAGTGAGTTTTTACCCTTATTATAAGAAAGTGACATGTGACAAATTCTTTTTCAACTGGGAAATAAACAAGCTGACCTCAGGAATTTACTTTTATTTTTTAAACATCAGGTGTCAAAGCATCTTTTTTAATATAAATAAGGTCTCAGGTAGCAAAGCTTAAGGGGGAAAAAATCACAGAGGACAGGAAATTGAACATTTCTAAGATTCATTAATCACTAAATTTCATTGAGTTTGAGGGACCATTCCTTTGTGTTCATAACTGTGTGCCTAGTAGCCCTGTGAGCTCATAATGTGTTTTCAGATATTATCATCGAGTCTTCTCCAAACACTGGTTTTCTTAATAACTTTTTTAAAAGTTTGCAGTAATTTTGCATTTACATAAAGTCACAAGGATACAGCAGAGAACACCCTTCACATAAGTTCAGTTTTGCTCATGTTACCATCTTTGCATTGCCTATTAAAAACCAACAATACTATTTTGTATCTATTACTAGCAACTAAACTCCAGACTTGATTAAGATGTCACCAGTTTTTCCACCAATGTCCTCTTGCTGCTCCAGGATCTACACACAGCATTTAGTTGTCTTGTCTCCATAGTGGTCTCTGGTTCTCCATCTT